CCCCAAAACCCCAAAACCCCAAAACCCCAAAACCCCAAAACCCCTGATAAGGGAGTAAATTTGACAAAGCTATAATATATAAATATGAACAACTTATTCAATTTTGAGAAAAATTACCAAAAGACATTCTTGATGAGAAGACTTCAGTATCAACCATCCATACTTCGCTTAATACCGACAAGAATATGACCGCTTCTTCATTTAATTTTTCCGCCAAGAGAGTTCAGAAGAATCAGTGAGAGAAAGGAGATCAATTTGATTGTAAAGGCCTACTGAAAGTCTGAAATTTTATTGGAATCACCTTTAAGAATCTTCTTTGTAGCAGACTTAATAAGATACATATTGATAAAAACTAGTTCAAAGGAATATATTAAGAATCTCCTACATAAAGTAATTATGCAGAGAACTTTCTAAAATTGTGAATCAAATGATAGATATGAAAAATGAATGGAATCAAAAGAAGCCCCTGTTATTCAAAGGTTTGACCAAGACATCACTATGAGAAATATTCAAAGTCCAGAGATCGTCTCCTCTTAAAATTTAACAACCTAATTATTCATTAATAATCTTTATTGGAAATTTGCTTTATTAGGAGCACTTATTGATCTTCCTATGTTCATAGAGTTTACGGATGAGAATCAGTCAATTCATATTTTACTAAAGAAACTTAAGTATTTCTTAAACTGAAGATAATATTTATCATGAGTAGCTACCTCATCGTATTATATTTTCAGGATAATATTCCATATCTTTTAAGAAATGCTTCAATCTTTTAAACCAACACCCACTATTCAAATTCGTTATAAAAATACCTTCAGTTCATCAAACCCTGAAATCCTCCAACAAGTCTGCTATCCCTATATCAGCCAATAAACGCTACATCCTCACCCCATACCCCCTCCTTACCAATCAACACCCTCCCTCCACTCCTACTCCCCAAAAAAAACCATTATTCTTTCAACCTCACCTCCCTACTTCGGGGTTTTGGGGTTTTGGGGTTTTGGGG